GGGGAGGGGGAGGGAGGGGGAGGGAAGGAGGGAGGGAGGGAGGGAGGAAGGAAGGCCACAGGGTTTGTGTTTCCTGGGGCCTCTGTCCGGGAGGAAGAGAGGGCAAAAAAGGAAAGAAATAATCTTTCTTTAGATTTACACAATCCAGGACAACTGTTGACCTTCAGATGACCTCAGAACATGCAGTGTTCCTCCTCACACTTTAATTCTATGCCCCAGCTAACTCAAAGCACATCAGTTGCTGTGACATTTAACTAACAGGAAAGCAATGTTTACCACTGGGCCCAGAAGTCAAGGTTTATTGTGATATTCTGCACAGAGGGTGGCAGGCAAGGAGGGACACACCCAGCGTGACAAAGAAGACCTTGAGCATCAGCCTACGGTACCCTCTCCCCCATAAAACCCTTCATCTGCCTGAGATAGTTTTCTGGGGGGTGATAACCACTCCCCAACCTTCCACACTTCTTTCTCTTCAATAAACCTGACTTTCTTTGCACCAACTCAACTCCCAAATATTGGCTTTCAAGTGGTGAGCAGACAGACTTAGGTCCAGTAACAACCAAAGCACCTCACCTATGAAATAAAGCCCATAATAGAAAAAAAAAGATTACATGCAAAGAAAAAGATAAAATCACCTGTATTGGAAGAAAGTGTGATTGTTTACATAGAAAAATCTGAAAGATCTGTATACAAACTTGTAATCAGAAATATTTCTGTATACAAATAGCTAGAGTCTACTCTTTTCAGCCAGGTGTGGTGGTGCGTCCCTATAATCCCAGCACTCAGGAGGCTGAAGAAGGAGGATTGTCATGAGTTCAAGGCCAAGCTGGGCTACATGGTGAGTGTCCAAGGCCAGTCTGAACTACATAGTGAGACTCTGTCACAAAAATAAATCAATAAATAAAATCTATTATTTTTAAATTCTATTTTCCATAGGAAAAAATAAAGAAGAAATTCAAAACTAGAAAATCCCTAAGATAAATTCAGAAAAAGATATATAAAACCTTTATACAGTAGAACCTTAGTTCATTAACTCCTTTCCACAATTCTAGTCCCAAACTGAATTAGATGAGAATCGAATCAAATTCAATGGTTAGGTTCAATGCTGACTTTATGGGGAAATTTGATTTGGTTCTCATCCAACTTGGTTTGCAACCAAAATTGTGGAAAGAATTAAGTTCATGAACTGAGGTACTACTGTAATGCAAATGACAAAATATTTTTGAAAGAATCAAAGATATCTGAGTGATTAAAGAAATATATACCATGAACAGGAGAATTCAATATAACAAAGGTACCAATTCTATCCAAACTTTTCTATAAACTGAATACAATTTTTAAAAACCCATAGAACTCTTGGAAACTGGACACATTGCCTCTAAAATTTATATAAATGAACCGAGCCGAGATTACCCCTAGAGAGATTTATTAGACAGAAAGCTTTGTTATAAAATTAAAAGGGTGTTTTATAGGTATAAGGATAGACAAGTAGACCAATAAAAGAGAATAGAGTCCCAAAAAGACCCAAGCATACATAAATGCATGAGGGAAGCACAGACCCTGCAATAAATGAGACAGGGCTGGAGATTTAGCTCAATGGTGCTGCCACCTGCCTTGCAAGCACAAGGACCTGAGTTCGATCCCCGGTACCTAAATAAATAAATAAATGAGACAGGGTCAGAGGCAGGAGATTAGGGCATGGCAGACTGACTGAGGAAGTGGGCTGAGCTGTTCAATCCTCCTGTCCAGCAAGAGAACCGATTAAACAAATTAAGTACAGTGTACAAGGCTGTAGCCTTTGAAATGAATGAACAAGAGCTACATGTACCGGCCAGGTGTCACACCTCTGATCCCAGCACTCTGGGAGGCTAACGCAGAAGGATTGCAAGTTTGAGTCCAGCAGGGGCTACTTAGTAAGTTACTGAGCCCCTGTCTCAAAATAAAAAGGGTCGAGGATATAGCTCACTGCAAAAGCCCTGGATTCAGTCCCCAGTACCACCACACATACACACACACACACAAACACACACACACACACACAGAGAGCTACATGTATCATTGTAGTCTACACAGTATCAGCTTGGCTGAGTCTTAAAAATCACTAATGCTGAGCCAAAAAAGCAGGCTACAGAGGGTACATGCTGTGACACCAGTCATACAAAATGTGATTCCGTTTTTGAGTCTGGTTTATGGAGATATAATTTGCACAGAATAAAATGTACTCCTTGTAGTGTGCGGTTCTGTGAATTCTACCAGCAGCATATCCTTGGGTAAGCATCACGAGAGACTCATTCCATCACCCCTCAAATTCCCTTGCCCCTTTGGAGTCAATTTCCCCCTTTCCC